TTACACTAACACTAACTGCATATTTTATTCGTATCTGTATAATTATTACAAGTTTATATACATTATTAATAAGTATACTTAAAATAGCTTTCAATTACGCAGCATAAACTAATTGTTAACAATTATTAGCTACTTCAACGTCGAAGAAGAAGTGACTCCGTAGGGATTCACATTTCATAACGCATCTGACTTGACAGATTTATTTATCTTGCTTGCACTTAGCATCCGTTCATTTATGATCACCATACTTCGTGCATTCATGACGACTTCTACTTAAGATGGCCGTGTGTGTAATATTGAAAGAGAATTTTCCTGTTAAATTCGAAATGGGCACACTGTGTGTGTACTCGCTTGTTGGAATAGGACTATCATTACGGCATGTGTGTAGGTAAGCAATATGTTAACCACACGTGTTTATTTATATTGTGGAATATTATTATTGTGAATGCTTTTAAAAATATTTGCATGTATGTTAATCTATCACCTTGTTACTTTTGAACACAAATAGCCATATATTAGACTGTCACCTACCTATATTTAACGACAATAATATTGTAAATTACGATTACTGCTAGGTATCTAGGCATTACATTATCTTTGTACAGGTGTTCAAAGAATCAGAAATCCACTCAAAGAACAGATCATTATATCTCATTTATTTGGGGTCGGCGTAATATGATTTTCTCTTCCAGTCATCCCTGTTACAGATCATCTTCATATACTTTTTTAAATATAACCATTGTCTATTTCACACTGTAGATAAGCTAGCTTGAACATAAACAAATAGTATGTACAGATTAATTAATAAATTTTATCTTAAAAGTTTCTTTAAAATTTTTAGATCAAGTTTTGTACTTTAAACCTATCCTAATATAAATATTTAACTATTATATATTAAATAGTTAAATATAATATATCAGGTTTAAATCCAGAATTAAATAAATAATAAAAAGTAATTATTTTCATAAATATTGGTCACATTTTTTCACATGACGCGTCTACTAGAAATGGCGACTGCTTTCGCATTCATCGCCAGCATAGAATTGCATGTGCAAGTTCAAGGCTGGTCGTCTCCCGCTTCCCATTGCGTGTGCATACGTATTAATTCTGCTCACAGCCGCGACTACCACCATTGTCTATCACGGGGACTGAGGTTAACAACCCCATAAAGGATTAATGATAGTATTGTGGAGAGTTAAAGTCTTGCCCCTATTTTTGCCACCAACTGCAGTTGCGTTTGTGACAAATGTAACTTCAGATAAACTTGAATATTATTTGCTTTTAATTTTTAGTTAACCACTAGCTACGTTTTACTTCTGCTTCTTCATCTTTTGATTCTTTTAACAATTCTAAAAAGACATATACATATATTAAAATGTTTTGAAGAATTTATATTGATATCTTCTCTTAGCTGTGTTGTGTCGCAGTAAATATTTCTACAAATTACACGTTTCAATAGTGCATTTGAATATTTGCTTGTAGTCCCAAACACACCTAGAAATATGCCGTTCTAACAATTTTAACTAAGTCAATAAGACCTTGTGTATGCTTCACTTTACTTTGCAAATATTATGTTAGATAATATGTACTTTTATATAACCATGTGCTTATACGTTTTTTTATATTTTGTTTTTCAAATGGTCCGATCAATATTTGATTTCGTTCCCCATTTAGTCCTGTTTATTTATTATATTATATTTTAGTTATCCTGAAGTCCGATTCTTATTGTATCTTATAACAATGTGATCGTATTAAGTAAACATTTTCTTTGTTTATTATAATATACAGCTTAATAGTATATAAGTACAATAAAATATAAATAATGTATTATTATAATTTTCAGGATAGTTGTTATTTTGGAAAAATAATAAATTCATAAAACAGTAGAACTGAAGCCAAACGTTAGTAAAATTAAAAAGTAGGTAGGCTCAATGCATTTTGTTGATCGTTAGTTCCATGGTAACTGCATAACGAATCAAACATTGCTAGCTGTAGGCTTCCCGCTGTCATTTTTTTTTTCATATCAACCTCAGTCAACTATTAAGACAAAATTATTAAAATCAGTAATGGAAAACTGTAATATTTACTAGTTTTAAGCGTATCTGAAGAAATGTATATTGTATTATAGTATTTATATGTTTGAAGTAAGCATAGTTCGTTGCCCTTGCAGTATTAGTAATGTATTCTTCTGCATTGACACACACGGTGCATAAGTCAATACGATATGTAAAGTTATTTCGTAACATTGCGTATTCACAGTAACAGAGTAATACAAACAGTCATCAATAGTGTTGATGGTTATTCGTGCAACACACGAAAAGTCAACATTATCGATCGACACATCTATAAGAAATATGTTTGATTTTCATGCAACTTGAAGGTGCAATCATTCGTCATCATAACTCCCATGTTTAGTGAATAATCCTAAATTATACTCGAGAATAATGTATTCTCACGTGGAAAATAGAAATTAAGGACATTGAATTCTGTAAAACAATAATGTTAAATAAAATATATTGAATTAAGTATATCAGCCCCAATAATAATATAATGTAATTATGTTAATTGAAACCCTTAGCAAGATTGTTTTGTCTGGAAACCATTGCAATGCTGTTTAGCAAATCCAAGTTTAATTTCATTATCTATTTATTTCATTCTGTAATTATTTTAGTTATAAGTTATATGCTCCAATCGATTTAGCTTACGCCCCTCGCTCACTCACTCATCTGTGTTGATTCAAGATGAATTATGAAATACTGCTCAGCAAGGCATAAATTTAGACGCACTATTTGAAGACGTCATAAACTTTACTTACGCTGATAATCTGCATAACTCTTCTAACTTATTATACACATATTCAAGTTTGTCTAATATCATAATGTAGTTTTTCATTTTCATTTGCTAACTCTTGATGTTAAGGAGACCACAGGCTAAATCGCGAACTCAGCTTTATGTGTATTATATACATGAGAGCTTGGCACCTAATAAGGGAAGTTTTAGATTGTCTGTGTTATCCTACACCCTCTTACACAATGCAAGTACGTATCTTGCTCTGATTGAATCATTTAATTAAATTCACGTGTATGATATCTGCACCGCATTGTTTCCGAAACACGTTTTGGAAAACACATTATGATGAATACATGTGTTGCAGCTTGCATTTTGATAGAAATGATTGTTGTTAAATACAAAAATTATTTTTATTTCTTTTATGTTTTAAATACGCTTTTACTTAGGTATATAGCTACGTACGCTATTTGAAAACTTCTTCCTGTTTGATAAATATTATTTAGCAATATAATTATCTACATTATAATACAAGATTAATAATAAAATTATTCACATAATGCGCAGCGCCATGACCATCACAATATAATCAGTGACGTCTTTCGTAGAAAAAGAAACATTCTTTTAATGTCCTTTGTGTGAAATAATATATCTGGATATTTAAGGGGATTATTACACTATCATATCTGAAACTATAATAATTTATTATACTGTGTTTTTTAAGCATAATATACAAAAGTCCGTACGATATCTGATAAAATATTAATAATTATTGACATCACAATCAGAACGAAGTAACGTCGCAGTATCGCTGTTAATTATTCATAGTTGAATGTTTAAGAAAACCTTAAATATCAGTAAAAAGTTTACAATAAAAAAGCATTTAATAAAAAATTGTTCACAGTACTGACATACACGTAAATCTTAGATGTCAATACATTATAATCCCGTATATAGGAGGATATATTAAGTCTTTGAATGTGTTTCAGAATTAAAAAATAATGTAATATTCTCCTATATTGAACCTACATGAGAGAGACATGAGAGTATTTTTTATTTTATAAAAATACGATCCAATATAATAAAGAAATTCTCAGTTCTTCAACGATCAAAGGTGTCCATTATAGTAAATTTATTGCATTACTTTAAATATATCCTTTTATAAATATATATAACTAATTCGTAGTCCTTATTCAAAGCTATTTTACTGCTAGACATTCAGTAAGAAACTATAAATAATGTTTGCTTTAATGGGGAAGGCCTTTATATCTCTGTCAATAATATTATGGCTAGCTGTGAAATCAGACGACGACTCCTGATAGTTAAAACAGAAATGAACGATCCAGGTTTATAGATTAGCAGTTAATTTAAACTGAAAGCAGTTGTATATATCAAGCGAATTTATAACCTGAATTGAGGGTAACGAATGCAAACAAACTATTGCATAGTTTTATATAAACATACAAGTCTTTTTAGTCTTTTCAAAATATACTATAGCATATTTCTATAGATATGTTTGTATACATGTTGTATATTTAATAAAGGCTAAATTTAAAAAGGCTTTTACTGCCGTCTAACTTGTACGGAAAATCTCTTTATACATATAATACGAAATTAGTTGTAGCCTCCGAATTCATGCATAAATGAAAGGTATTGTGAATTTTAAAAATTTGCTTCATATTATATTTATTGTGTTTTTGTATCACTTTGAATATGGTTTTAATTGAGTATGTTTACATTTTGATTATGTGAAAATACTTAAATGTCTGCAGTTTCGTATTTCGTCCTGTTCTTAATATAATAGTATAAGGTGCAGTATGTGACGACCCAAAGCAGATACGCTTACAGCAGTAGAATGTTTAAAATTCATAGAAGAGTCAAGCCAGATTCTAATAATATATTATATACATTCTATTATCCATGATAATGTTACCTGCCCTTCACTTTGTGTAAAGTAGACTGGTAGATATACCTCTATAGTCTATACTTGTCTACATTAATCTTTCATATATAGATAATATTTTTGTGTCTTCACAAATTGGAAGAAATCAGAAATTGCTCAGTATGTGTTCTGAACAAAATAGCTGAAAATATGCAGTGATTGAAGTGGCTACCGTTTACTCGACCCGTATCAACCCAAAAGAGAGAGGTGCTAGCTTGGAGACTGGGGGAGGTAACTAACGAAATCATGGAAGCGCATTGTCGCAGTGGACGGCCGCCACAACGGCCGCGCGTAGAACCTGTGCACGCGCACCCGCGATAGCGCCCTCTACCGCACGCTAATTCGACTTAACGCGAAACAAGTGACGTCCTAATGCTATATTGATTATACAAACAAACATACTGTTCCGTTTTGTAAGTGTGGTACGAAGCTCGAATGTCGTAATACGTGGTTTTGTTTTTCAATGCTCTACATACACATGGCATTGTCCTTGTATTCGATATGTGGATGATCTCTTTTATTGTGCGTTTTATGTAAACCATAAAAAAGAGAGAAGTTCATGGTTCCGATTGAAAGACATTTACGGGCCAACGACTTATTAGAATTAAAATATTTATATTCTATGTTATGTATGTATTGAATTTAAATACTTATTAATAATATTATGATATGTATCGGAACAATCGACGTATCGTCAAGTACCTTTTGTAAATTTAATTAATATAGTGTAATAATTAATAATAGATTGGTGAACAGATTTGTTAAATTTATATTATTATCAGGTACGTACGTATAGTAAATATATATGTGTACATACTAAAGATCAGTCAAATTGAAGACGACTGAAAGTAGGCGTTACTATTGTAGAAATTTGATATTCATTGTGGTTTTCTGGGTCACTTAGATCTCAGTTCACTACTTTGTATAATGAGCGCTTTGTTTTAGTTAGAACTATGGATTTAAACCACAATATTACTCAATGAGCCCTCTGTTGCCTGAGATTTTAAATTTCTTTGATTAATAAAATTAATTTGCTTTGTGTACGTTACATTAATCTTAGGAATAAATATTAGATTTCATTTTGAACATACAAATTTAGATTAATATTAATATTTAGATTAAGTTTATAAATTCAAGAAAATTATTCATATTGATTGGAATTGCCCTATAAAATGATCAACATATATTTCTTAGAATTTCATAAGTTGATTGAGAATAACGACGGTTAACTGTATATACATAAGTATATATTTAAGCGTCGTATGCGGTTGCATAATTCTAAGTTTCGGACAGAACGGTTCTTAATTTGATTTTTCAAAACCAATTTTTATATAAAGCCGACCATTTCTTACAACAAATAAAAATATGAACCATAAATATTTCATCTTAATCAAGCGAGCGAGATTGGTTTAGTCCTTTAAGTTATATAGCTCGTAGCTTTTTAGTAAAGTTACTTTAATTAATTACTTACTTTTACTATTTTATAAACAATGACGTTTAATGAAATTTTCTTTCAAATGGATCACAAGATTCGTAGATACTATTAAGTTTTAAGTAAATAAATAAAAAAAATCCTTATATATTTTCATATCGGTACGTTCTTGTACATACGCATATTTAAACATAAGACAATCTTGCTTTTACATCACACCGTCTATATGGTAAGTCTCTACCTTTTGTCTAGTCCATGTCAACCAGTGTACCTATTATTTGTCTTACCTTAGCATAGACTTGGAAATATAAAGTAGGTTCACCTTTTTTTCTAGTAGAATAAATAATACTATGTAACGGTAAATTCCACTAATAAGTAATATATAAATTTTTAAAACAATGAAATAATACGGACTGTGATTTTTATATAGTGAACGCTATGAATATTTTAGGTAATTAATTGCAAGAGCACTTTAAGTAGTCATTCGGAAATATTGAATTAATTTAATTGTTTTTGAAAATTGACTGATAATGTTGACATTGCGAGATACGGTAATGAAGGCTCTGTCATAAATAAAATATTATTTTACCTTCATTTTGTAAACATGAAGGTTATTACTAAATGGTCTTGAATTTATGATAAGTGAATAAAGTAAAATCCTTTTTCTCGTATGAGACTGAGATTTTTATTATTTCCTATATTTTGTTTATTTTTTACATAATGGTTCATTATTTGCAGTGTACTATGACTATGTTATAAATATATTTTATATTTTTTGTATATCTAAATTACATATAGGTATTTATTTAACTAAAATAACGGATTACCTACATTAAGTAAGTAATGGACATATTTTTTTCAATTATTTATTTCATTTTCATTTTTACTCTATTATAACATACTCAATGTTATAATAATATATCGGAATACCTGTAACATTACTATATGTCAATATTACTTAAATAAAAGCACGTACCACGAAGCACTAAAGGCATGGTGCAGATATTTAATATTGTCATTTCAAAGAATAAAGCCACTACGATAAACATCGTTATTATCTTACAAGAACATAATGTACAATAGCAAGTACCTATATGAGTTTGTATTCACGTGACTCAATGCTGTGGGTGTCACATTTCGTATGCACAAGTACAGTGCCTAGGAAGTGCACTCATGTTCTTACATATATCGATGTTTTTATACGGCCATGCGCGAAATTATTCGCAATTTCTATTCAGTTAACGTTTCAATTAGGGATGTCGTTTATAGCATTGTTATTTATGGGCGATTGTTATTCTGACAATAGTAAATTTACGATCTCGTTTTTTATATACGTACTTTTGAAATGTATATGTTTATAATTAATACCTGTTTCTCTTGGTCACTCCATAACATATTAACTACTTAAACGATTTCATTTTTCTATTTTTTACTATAATCTAACATTTTATTTAACTTAACTGTAATCTAATATTATATAGAACGTTCCTACTGTACGGAAAAATTACAAAAATATGTTCAAATATTAATGGTAATTTGGTTTTAGTTGTGATAATATTTGACATTACCCTCATTTGGAGAGAGTTCATTTCGTCTTGTTTTGCTTTTATTTATAATATATAGATTCGCGATTGTTATGTTAATATTGTGTATGTATAAATATTTAGTAGGTTTTAATATATAGTTTTTTTTATGGTATATAATTTTATTTAATTAAAAATTGTCATTTATAATTCATGTTACTTATAATTTTACGAAATTATTTAGCAGTTCTTGTTTAATAAATGTCATATCTACGCATAATAGATTTAATACGTGTATATGTTCATCAAATAAATGTCAATCATCAATTAGTAAAACAAAATAACACGAGATAAATTTGCATCGTAACAGAGCAAAACGTTCGAGTCTCGTATGATGCTCAATATAAATGTTAATGGATTTCATTACATGCATGTGGACGTTTTAATTTGGCTATGCTATTTGATGTCATGTGGTGAATACTAGATCGATAGCTGCGTGCCAAATTTTAACAAATGATACTTAATATATATGTATCTTCTCGCCAAGCTCTTTTCAGGGTATACAAATAGGACTAGATTGAAGAGGATTGATTATTAATGGGTTAGACCTTCTACTATGTGCTGATAGTACACGTTTCATTATTTATATTGGTGTAGATTTTATGTAAAATAGGACTTATTTTGGACTAAATTACTCATTATAAATTAATCACAGAATAATTAAATAATTCAAATATTTGCTGTTGAAATGAAACCATATGAAACTGGACGTTAATTCCAAACATTTCACTGCTCATTAGTAACAATGTAGTTTAAAATTGTTTACTTTTTAAGTAAAAGGATACGAAAAAAATTTAAACGGTCACAGTGATCTTGAACACACTCATCGCTACAAGTGGGATTCAGGTTCTGTTGTGTCATACAGGCATTGAAGATCCCATCTACAGGCTACGGTAACCACTTATCGGCAAAACTTTAATCATGTATAGATACAATGTATAAGCAAACGGAACAAAAAATCTACAATGCAGTAACTACATGCTTTGACGGTGCATTAAACGTTCGAACATAAAAAAACTACAATAAAAGCCGCGTCCGGTTTGACATATCACTTTCCATTAACGGTAAATTTTACTACAACCATGCGACTATGAAGTAATTAAAACGGTTCGCATCGGCCGCGTAGCGCTTTTTTAACTGTAATCGCGATTCTGAGAGAAAAAATCAAATAGCGAATTGACGACCTTATCAAACACGCAGTTCAATAACCCCAATTTTGTTATGGCTAGGTTTTATATCGTTGTTGGTTTTGGGTTAACTCAAGTCACTGTTAACACTATAGTATACTTTATAAAGATATCAATGTTCAAGACTAAGTCAGCGTCGCCACTGTGTCGCATCATTTGTTTATAAATTGCAGCAAGCAATTTAATGTATAGCATTTCTAAATCTATAACATTTGCTATTTTAAATAATTAAATATAACACTATTTTAAATAATTGCCGTGTTATATTACGTATGTTCAGAACGTTGGAAATTTGCATATATAGAGTAAGTCATATAATATAATTTATTACTTCAATTAAAATTGGTGACAATATAATATAGAGTTCCTCTGGTGATATAGTCGTACATTAAAGAATTGTTTTTAGCAGTTTCTGCCGTAACGCAAGTTAACTGGTTTATTGATATATATACGCAAGAATATAAATAAATATTGTATTTGTTACAAAATTTATATTGAAATATTCTAAACCCACCGGATTTTTGAATTCGTTAACAATATTATATATAGTTATAAATTCAATCAGAAGAGTCTTTAGAAGTTGCGTATTCAATACCTATTACTTTCTTAGTAATAGGATGAAATACTATCTTCTGCTATGGCCCCTGTATACGAAGAATCTACTATGTATAATTGTATACTAAATAAATTTAGTTTCATGATATCTAGTATTTTTGGGTAAAAGATAATGACTCAGTCCGAACTTATCTATCTATAATATTAATATCTAATAGATAAGAAATATTTGCAAATAATATTGATAATTTATTAGAGGGTGATGACACCTGAATAGAGGCCTATGGTAGAACAAGTTTCGGTGACAGCCATGTAATTTTATTGTTTCGTGAACCAGATCGAAATGTTGGAACAACCGTTAGGTGTGAATGTTCCGATAGCGGAAACGGTTGTTGGTTTTATTGGTCCCTATCGATAAAACGTTATCAGTGTAGAGGTGAGAACAATAGAGAACACGCCATTCAATCTGTACATTCAGATCTACAATACGATTGTTTTCACCTCTGACAAAGTATTAATTGGAGATGATCTACTTGCGAATATTACTAAGTCCCTTATCGAGTTTTGAAAATACCACTTTTCAATTCTCGCGATATTTGTTAGATATCAAAATTTCTGTAATTCAATTTTTAATTAATTTATTTCTCATGTCTATTGTCCCAATTTATTTGGAGTCCGTCCTCTAAGTTGTTGTTTTTCATCTTTTTTGAACTACTCTTCTGATGTTGGACGTAGCCGGCCTTACCAGCTGAATCGTACGCCATTATACGTTGTTTCTTCGCTTATAGTAATAAGCGAAGAAACAACGTTACTATACAAATTTCATGTTTTCCATTATTGTATCCACCCGCAATTACTAGTATGTTTCTTTTTCGGTATCTTTTTCTTTCTTCCATGTTTATTACTCTTTTAGTGATTTATTCGTCATCCCGTCTTATTACGAACCGTACCAACTCAGGTGCATATCTTCTCATTTCATATTAAATATACAGTGAAACTTCAATCACTGTATAATTAATATGAAATGAGGATAAATGCAGAAGAATAAAATTGAGCAATATAGTCCAAAGGATCAGCATAGGTGAATAGGCTAATTACTACAATAAATGCGCTTGAATAGTGATAATATAGATATACTAGTTGTGGCCACGATTTTACCTGCGTGAAATTTATTGCCTATATGTTATTCTGATTTATTTATTTCTGATGATTATGATATTGCCTATATGTTATGATATAAGCTATATTACTGTAAAGTTTCATCAAAATCCGTTCAGTAGTTTTTGCGTGAAAGAATAACAAACATCCATATATACTCACAAACTTTCCCGTTTTTAATATTAATAACATAGAGGTAGTTTCCTAAAAGATTAGCCGCTGTTAGGTACTTTAGGAGATTAGACCCAATGTCATGTTAATAGTAAGGTAGAGTTCTTAAAAATATTTAGTTTAAAAAAGCACAAGTAGGTTTTCGAGTTCATGTAATTCGAAGTACAGACCTACAACGTTGGATCGAAATACCTGCTTGTTTTTTATTTATACCTTGAATATTTCAACAAATCGAAATCAACCGCGTAAATCTTGCAGTGTTTCCAAAACTCCTGTCACACGAAATCGAATTGGGACTGAATAAAATATTTGATGGATTTCGCAACAAAACGCAACGGAAATGTTTAGTAAGCATTTTCGTTAACTCCGCACTGTGCTCGTTGAAATATGAAATGTAGTTTGTAGGCGGATATTCAATGCGCCTTTCGATGCTTACTTATGGTTGTTATTTACTGTAAGGTGTTTGATGTCTGAATGTTGACTTACGTTATTATTTATATCCAGGGCCTTATTCCGAAATGTATGTACAATATTACAATGATATTATAATATTGTTCAATATATTTTAGTCTAACCTAACATATATTTTACACCTCACTAGCTTAATTCTATGCATATTATAGTTATCGTGTTACATTACAATAACTAATAATATACATATACAACATATAGCTAACTATGTAATATTACTAATTAATTGAATAACTTTATAAATCTGATTTACGAAAGTGAAGTGTCATCAATTTGTTTAAAGAATATAACATATATTTTTTTGTGTATCAGTGCTAATTCTATTTATTCGTATTTTATACTATCGAATGCAAAATCTTGGTGAATACTATTGAGGTGCCTACGTACTTGGTTAATATTATAGGTCAGTGCGGCGCCGCGCATTTTGTGCCTCGATTATAAAATGACTGCCTACAAATAGTTGCCATAAAGCTACCAGTGGTTATGATGAAAATACTTTGTGTGAATAGACAAAAGAAAAGTTCCCCTCTATATCCGTCTTTTTGTGTACTTGTCAATACTCATACACATACAGTAATTGTATAATGACAATAGCTTTTAAATTACTCGAGAGATTACTACTATTTTCGCCATAATTGGTAATTATTAAGAGTCAGAATATGCGGGATATATGACATGTATAAAATACATTCAATCTAGGTAACTGAAGTAGAAATAAAGTGTCCAATTTTTCTTTAAAAAATAATACATTTATTAACTCAGAGGCAAACTTGAGTAAACCTGTAGTAGTACGTTATATAAGTACCTATGGTAACTAATGTAGGAAGTTACATATTGGATTTATCTGCTCTCGTGCGTATTATTAAAAATATTTTTCGTAATTCAAGTTTCAACTAAGAGGTTTCGTAATTAACGTTCAGTAAACAAGTATTACTGTTAATATAAATATAATAATATAAAATTTCAAATCGTTTAACTAGGTAATACAAGTAATAAATATTTATTACATGTAATTACGGGTTCCTTTTAAAAGTTGGAGTCGTTAAAACCGCATAGCATTATTGGACAGTCTCGGTAATCATCAGACCATAATATTGAAGATATCTAAGGGCATTTTAAAATACATTTGTAATCTTGGTGTGAATATTAATGTATTCTCGCACTGTTACTTATAATTTTTATAATACCGTGATTATAAAAGTTATACAATTATTTTATATCGCCTCTCTGAAAATAAGGAAATCATATAGCATAAGTGTTTTACTCGTTCGAATTTCTCATGAGCTTTTCAGAAAGTTTTTTTAGTTTGTTTAATAGCCTACTTTACATTAGAAATCTTTTATTATTCTTGGCCAAAAGAACAAATAGGTACAGTCGATATCATTAAATATCTAAACTAAGACTAAAAAAAAGAACTAAAAATGAACAATTTTCCAACAATAATAAATGGTAGTAAATGGTAGCTCTCATTTTATCCTAGGTTGCCATAGGCATAAGTACAGAATAATAAAGTCTTCAATGTACTATAATTATTTTTCAGTCGCTGGTTAAAACCGAGTATCGAATCTAATGACACATACTAATCTAAAAATGTAATTATCCATAATTATCAGCTTAGGGTAACATTAAAACCTACTTTGATACAAGTACCTTTAAGAATACATGTACTGTATAATTTTGCAATCACGTATTAAAACGAATGCATTCATAATCTATAGAGGTAGCATACGCGTAATTAGCAGTTACTAGCGACTTTGCACATATGTCTATTCATGAGTTTAAAATTACTACAATTAATTTTACCGACAGTATCATTTGAAAAAAAATATCAATATTATATTCTAATTTTATTATAACTTAGTAGGTTGAACTTTTTGTGTTGTATACTCGAAAACGAATAGTAATTTCAGAAGTAATGGCAATGCTGTTAAATTCCTTATTTTAAATGGAACTCTTAAAGCGACATTCACCGGACTATTTTAAAAGACCGTAAACTTTTAAAAGCAACCCTGGAATATATTATTAACAACTCCATATAATTGAACAGTCAATCGTAAATGTTGGAAAGTCATTTGTGAGCAGATATGTAATATGAAATAAAAACAATTCTTAGAAGTACATTTAAGAATGCTACATATATTTACTATCAAGAACACGTGAGTATAAATAAATTAGCGTCGATAATAACTTTTAAGTTATTGGTAATAAATTTTATTATTGTTACAAACAGAATTTTACAAGTGTATATATAACATATGTTGTTCTGTTCACAAACGAAATAAATATGTTTTACAGGAAAATAATGGCAAGGTTCATTTAAATAAAACAAAAACTTTAATTAATATAGACAGGCACAATAAATTTATTTGACTTGTTGTTAGGAAAATGAAAAAGTAGATGACTATAATAGTATTTCTAGTTGCGCTCCATTGAAGCGAAGAAATATAACGCGATTTACAATACTTCAACGAATGTTGAAATTATCAAAGTTTTTCAAATAGGCATTATTACATTTTATTTTATTCGAGTTTCACCATATTATAATTTATTGCACTACCTAAGATTTACTAATTTACCTCATAATGTTTTGGGTATATAGAATACATGAAGATATATTGTACACGTCGTATTGTCTGTTTGTTAAAAGAATAGTGATCTATCTTTTCACTTTACAATCAGTTCAATGAACATAAATTGATAAGGTTCGATGGAATTAGACACCAGATTACATATTAGTTATCGACTTAAACGATGTTAATGAACTTTACAAGGCCAAAGCCTTCCAAGATAACTCTATAAAACCTTTTAGTTTTATAGATTTCATTTCATTCCACAACATAATAGTACGTTATTGATTTTTTACGACAATCGAGCTTCAAAAAGTTGATATAGAAATAATGAAACATGTTAAAAAATTAAATATTTAATACATGTAGGTACTTAGGAAAAGTGATGCCTCAGTATCCCATGACTATGGTAATATAAAAATAGTGATGTATTGAAAATGTGTGAAAAATACAAAATGGGAAGCGGAAAGTTCGGTTTTAATGGAAAGAAAGACAAAGTGACAGTGACGGGTGCCAAGACTGAATTTAGTGTTAAGGAAACATACAATAAAATACAAAAGAAATTGAAGAAGACTGACTCTAAGAAGACTGATGTCCAGGCAGAGGAGAAGACAATATGGTGGAATCAATGCAGCGGATGTAAGATCCTTTCATATTTTTTATATACAAATAACTGTTAGGTAAATAAATATTATATACTATTATTACTCCTTTAGATAATTAAATTAAATTAAATAATTTAAAAATCTGATGAAATTATATTTATTTTAAATTGGCTTCTATTACACATATTCTTAAAGTTTTATTATTAATAATCCAGGTTAGTAAATAGTTTTGGTCAATAGTGTAGGTATACGTTTAAACTTTTTATTAGATTGCAGGATGCAGTAGTAGTATGAAAGCGGAAACTTAATTAAAATAACTGCATAGTAGCTCGTACCTTAATTCACATGTTAAGAATAAATTACTGGTTTCTATTATTTAAAGAACAGAGCCTCTTGAAGGGCCTGCAGGCTTGTTACGCCCTTTGAATTTACAATGAGTGGAAATTAGAGCATCAAGGTTCGCCTTTTGAAATCATACAGTACCTTGAGCGACATGATATCGAGGCCAGGCCGGCCTTAAACGTCGCCTTCAAATTATATGTGAGCCCTTCTAATGAACAGATCGATTACAACATTGACTTTTGCGAGTTTTCTGCCTGCCCTATACAACATAAACACTTGAATATCTGCATGTCAACAGTCTAAATGTGTCCAATCTAGTAGTAGGTATTTGTTTATGAGTAATAAATATTTAACCAACCCTAAACATTATAATAGTGTGCTCTGACCTGTATACCCAGACTATAGGAATTGTAGTCGTTGTATTATGCATTCAGACGTACGAGTCCAAAAATATATGTATACGTGCATTGAGAAGGCATTCCATAGTCCATAAACATTGGATGAAATTATGACACTATCGAAATAAAGAAATTACTTTAACATTATATTATAATATTTTTAATGTTTTTTTTTACTAATTATGAACTAAACACTATTCAAGGCAATAAATTAACTATTTTCAATGTAATTAGCTTTATGTGATAAAGCTAAGTTATTGGGTTACGTTTTTAGTTGAATTATACTTAAAATATAGTTTATCATTGACTCAAATTATTCTAACAGGGTGTAGCTGATAATATCTATGGAACTATATTTCAAAATAAATCGTTAATCATTCAATTATAAGTGCATATATACATATGCACATATATCGATGTAAAAGTGTGCCAATGGAAAGCGCGAGAGAATCCCGAGAAATCTATGCGCTAATGCGACTGCGTGCCCCCCACTTTCTAAACTGGCTAGACTTAAGAATACTATTTAGGGCTGCCAGACACTTTTCCGGAATTAACCTCCTTTGAAACTCTACAATCACTATCGGATATACAATATGTTTTATTCTTCAACAAATTTTTAACTAGCTGAAGCCGCGACTTTATACGCATGTGACTTTTTCATTTCTTAACTGATGGGAATAAAACATACAATACAGTTTAGGTGCAATGACCACAATACTCAAGTGATAAATGCACAAAAATCGACAATGCTGTGTAAGCAAACAGATAAATATTTCATAAAGCATTGTTTTGATTTCTGTTACGTCAATAAAATACTCAGTAACAGTTTTTCTCATATATCATCAATAATAGATATAATAATTAAAATGTAACATGTCTATAAACAATCGGTTACATTTTAATTATATAAGAATAGTAACAGTAATGTTAAACTAAAGAAAAGACGCTAAGACTAAAATTAGAAGGTTGTTTCTTAAAAATAATGCCCCCAGGATGAAAGCTGTGTGTGCACATTTTTGTAAGTACCAATATTATGTGATGTCATAGTACCTATGGCATTTTCACTGTAGTCAGTTTGCGATAGATTGTTTACTTAGGACGGAGGTCAAGTGTTAACTCACTATAACGGCTTCAACCGACACTAATTATCCCATGTGGCTTCAGCCTTAAACATATTTATATTTGGATTGGTAAAAAAATTGTAAAAGTGAATTTACGCCACACCAATTATTTGTCAACCGCCAACCCTAGTTTTGTTTATAGTCCGGGAAATGACTGTCGCCTCGCTGGGAAGTTCTAACATTTCCTTATTGTTTAAGCTAATCTATTATTCAGACCTACGATTAGATAATATATTTCTAGTACAACGCAATTATTTTCTTATATTGTATTTATTCTACAAAACCCTAATTTCAAGTTTTAGGATTAGAGTAGTTTTTATAAGACAATCTTGAATGACGACATACGCATTACACTTTTTCTTTCATATTCATGGTGTTTCATGCCTATAGTGTTGATGATTATTATCAATTGTTATCATGTACCTAAAAATATCGTAAACATCTTAAATTTGTGCCATTTTGTTACAAAATACGTACAAAGATCTAATTCTACAGTAGTATTTAGTGTTACAAATACCACTATCATCACAGTAACCACTACAAATAATCCATAAACTAAAATAGTGTTACTAAAAAAATTAGATTATTGTTAATTCTAAGTTATGATTAAATTCATGTAAATAATATATTCGATAGTTATCAAATGTAAATTTCAATTGATGAAATACATGTATTAATTATTGTTGTGGCAACTTTTGTAATCTATTATCATTAATCTAACTTTAGTATTTAGTTTCTTCTCAGTTCGAGTTGTGGGATAATAGATCCATCCGGAAACTCTATAACTCTATAACAAACGAATGTAATGTTGAAAATATAAAATGGGACTAATAATTTTATACGTAACCACGTACAAAGTTTTATATTAAAAATAATAAACGAAACTTAAATAAATTTATAATTAGGAATTGCCGGGAAAAAATGTGAATCATTATTAATCGCGCAGAGATTGACAATGAAGGCCGTTTTCAGGTAGATCATTATCGAAAGTACCATTCTCGTAGTCTTTTGTTAAGGTTTAATGGACACCGTAATTACTATAGCACCTTATTTGGTGGCTGCTTTTATTAAGTGGCCACCCCGTTAATTCTGTACATCACGTTACTATGTGTCTTAATGGATTCATTTACTTGGCAGAATAATTTATTATATTTATTGATTGCTGTTCTCGGATTGATGATAATATATTTAAAGGTTCAGTGCCAATGCATAGCCTGAGGCACGAGTTGTGTTTATAATTGGTACTTTACGTACAAATAGAATAATCAAGCAGATATTTTTACATTATTAATATTAGTTTTTTTTTTTAAATAAGAGAGTTATGTAAGATTATATCCATGGAATTTGTCCACGAACAAATGTATTTATAACTACAAATTTTTAAAATATGTTTTTAGAATTATTTTAATACGATTAGTCTAGTTTGACTCCATGGAAACCCAGAGCAATTTGAAAAATGTAAGTTCTGGAATAAACAACGATTTAAGTTTCACCAGAATATAATATAGTTACATACTTTCTAACAGTTCCGTTATGCACATTCATAAATTGGTTTATATAAATGTATGTATTATTTTATTCCAGTAAGTGAAATTGACCAGTACTTATGGATGGTCGGTGGATCGGCGGGTGCCCTGGCGTTGACCGGCGTTGCCGCAGCCTCCGCCTTCTACCTCAGCACGAGGCCGAAGCCGGAGAAACCGCTCGTAACATTACACGAACAAAGTCTTTTAGAGCCGGTGAGTTCATTTGTATTAATACGTGAAACAAAAGCTTTGTACCCCTTTTTACGAAATTGCATAGACTCATACTTATTATTGACATAGAGAAGGAGTGCAGAACAGTATATTTTTTAATTATACATAAAATCAACAAAATAATTACACACACTACCCTGTATTTGATACACTCAAGCACTCATACTCTTACAAGTAATAATTAGTATAATAAAATATTGCAATGAAATTAAATAATTTCTCTGCCATATATTAGTAGAGTAGATAAGACGTTACATTCAAATATTATTAATCAGCAATATTTACCATAATAAGCATGCAAATTATATGAAAGTATTCGTTTTATTAAAATTTTCTTGGACACTGAAAAAATTACCAAACGAAGTAATTTTTTTATTTGTCAATTTTAGTTTTTATTTAACAACAATGTATGAGATCTCAATTGTCTAATATATTTTGTAAGACTGTTATTGCCATACAGTATACATTTTTCTTACTTAAATCTAATCAACATATAGGTATGTAAAGTTCATCATTAAGTTGGATAAAAACTTTTCACAAAATGCTTAATAAACAGCGAAAAATTTACATTTTGATAAATATTTTGATGGGACAAAACCACTTTACTTTGTTTTGAAAACAAAAATACTACACACTGTACATTACTTTTAATATTTGCAATAAACAAGGGTCGATGGCCTACATTATAATCGTTTAATCGCACAAAATATACATATATCTATGTCTATATACATAGAGACAAGAACATCATGTGGCCACTTGAGTTTCGACACTCGACAACAATTTTGTTACATCATTGCGAATGTATCTTTGATAATGCCTGCGTATAATAATAGGAAGTCTGCAGACTGACGATTTTTTTGGGTTTTGACCGATAACGAATTTTCTTTGTTATCAAGTAGACTTAGGTTAGTCACTAGATAAGATAAATACAAGTAATCAGTACGAAATATAAAAGTTTCTCAAATCTTCAACGTATGGTCGCTATTGAAGCTAAAAAGCGCTTTATATAATGTATGTAACCTTGACTAGTTACATTATAACAGCAGATTTATTAACGAGTCAACTTGTTCCGCCTATCTACTTACACAATATGTGTAATACATACTTATATTTTAGATAATAATTTTCCATCAAAGTGATTAAAGAATTCACTGTGTCCCTCTCTTCTTTGCCCAACCCATGTTTATCGCGGGTCTCTCTGTCTTTAATAATATAAAAAAATATTGCTAGGTAAGTAGTAGAAACAAATATCAGAGGACTGTTACTAAATAAAATTTATTATATAATTCTTTATACCTAAAAATATCATATGATTAAAAATTTACTTTATTTTATAATGAAAGGGAAACTCCTACAGAATCTTCCTTTGTATCAAAGATCAAGTTGTCCTAATTCAAACTGCCGCCGTTCTAGAGTTGGCAAAGCGCATCTTCGAGCGGTATTTTTAACTCATTTTACCACGGGCAGAGCTGGCCGCTACTCCTGTCACTACTTCAAAATTCAGCGAAAGTGATGGGACATTAAACCTGTGCCAACCGAAAAACAGTCTTAGTGGGTCTTAATAATTAAGGACTTATTCGGAAGTGGAAGGTGACAGTGGACATTTTAAAGCAAAAGTTAAATAACTATGATTGCGCAATGTGACATAGCTTGAACAAATTTGAAAAAAAACGGTGCATTTCGTAGTGTGATAACAGTTAATTAAGAATGGCGTGTTGTGACTGCTGCCTCGGAGTCATTCCGATCAGACCTCCGATAAACTTGAACGAACAATCCGACGCCCTCAAAGTAAGTTATATCAATAAAAACTATTATTGACAATAGTATGCCACGTACAAGGCTAGAATATTATTTGTTTTTATAGGGATATAATCTTTTCAATGCTCAAAGAAAATACTCGGATTCATTTTAAGATTTAGGCTCTCAAAGAAAAATCGCCTACATTTGTAGCATTGCCGGTAGAAACAAGAGGGTATTAAGTCGTATCATAAAATAGATAGAATACTTACAGAGTTAGCGAAAATCCATAACATAGACAAAAACTGATTGGATGTAGAGATTATATTCAAAGGTGCTTGACATTTTTAAGACCTTTACTAAATCACCGAGATATTATAATAATAAAATTATTTAGTATATTATTAACAACGTTTAATTGTACAGATGCAATAAAATTATCAAATCTGTAACTGAGGTCGTAACATTGTTTGTCTGTACTTAGCTCAGAAGCTGATGATAGTTGGCAGAGATCCGTAACATTTAGATTCGCAACATTTAGGTCCACTGTCGAAGAATCATGTGTTAATGATTAGAAATAGCAACATGAGACAATACTTGTTATAAAACATATTACAAAATGTTAATTTTATTATGTATCTATTTTGAAATTTAGTACAAAATAGTTATTACTATCATAACTAAAAAATTCACAATTCATAACCACTATAAATAAATCTGTAAAGTAATTTACAATTCAGCTAAAGGGTGAAGGAAGATAGAAGGTATTTTTTGTGAATTCATAACGACGGCATCACTGCATAGAGTTTGAATTAACTTATATATTTTTAAAGAATTTTAACATAATTGTGTAATAATTTTGATTAATTCAAACAACCTGATTTTAGCATTTAGAATGGTCAGTTTCCAATACTACGGCCTAAATATAAAGTATTTAATTTAGTTTTAATTGAGAGGAATGGGCAACAAATAGATTATAGTTGTTAAAGATAGAAAAACTACATTATTACAAAATAATCTGGCGTGAATTATTGTATACAAACTACTAAATTGTACAAATTATAAAAAGCAATATATTAAATACATAAATGTTAAATAATAAAGTAAATCAGCCCTGTTTCTGTATAGCACATGGACTCAAGTAATTAGGATTGCAGTATATACTATATTTATTTACAAAATCTTAATTTTATTTATATCGAAATGGACAATTATTGTTTTCAAGTTACGTCGCGATTTTTATAATGAATTAAATTTCTATATGACATAAATAAACGATATAATAAAGACTAATATATTAAATGGGAGTGTCTGTGTATTTATGTATGTTTCCTGAATAATCGACTATCTTAATGAAAGGTAGAATAGGGATGAAAATCTGTATTGGAAGCAATTATTTAAAAACGTAAAAGCAATAAAAGATATGGATACAAAATAGACTACCAGAAGTATATATGTACTAATTGTATTTAATATAAGTTACTAGTACTGGCATAAGGTAGTGTCAAATGCATAACAAACCTTAACAAGCATTTTTATCTTTAGGCTTAATCGACAAAACGTCCACACAACTAAAGATAGGTATCTACATAACTGTATAGTTATTTATTTACCCAGAAATATTCTGTTTTTTTTGTGTTTAGTTGTACGTAGTTGATTTATGATTAATGGTGACAGACGCGATGTGATATATTATATTTGCCACAAGTCGTACATTTACGCACAATACCACTCATTCCGGTTGGTACCTAAATTCTGTCCTCTTCATTTGTTAATTATCTGATAAAAATAATATCACTAAAAACGTTTACACCGAAAATACATTTCATTTCGAATGAGATTTTGTTACAATCCCTCCCTCATAACAAATTTTGTTTCATCATACACGGTTAAAATCGTAGTAAGTCTAAATTAACTTAAATTCTACCAATTTTTTGTGTCAGAAGAAATATAGCTCATTTCTTACTCTAATCTAAAATCCTTGTACTTAGTCGCTTACATTTTGTTCTACAAATTAATTATATTTATTTAAATCAAGTTCATTTAGGCTGTTTGAAATTATAGAAATAATCTGTATTCAAATAAACTTAATATAAGCATTTTTGAATAGTCAAGTTTTTTTATTCTACCGCTCATTCGGAATGCAGATTCATCACAAGAAGAATAAACAAAAAACTTGTGTGTTGCTCTTTTAAATAAATATAAATAATAATATCTGCCTATAAAATTGAAGACGATGATCTAATATAATACTACCAAATAACCCAATAAGAACAGAATTATACGGGCGCAAGTTACAAATACGAATAATTACAACTACCACCGTCCACCGTTATATTTTATACCCACTTAATATCATAGTGAGTTAGGAAAAAAGTGAAAATAAGATGTTGTCTAGCTGTTAAATGTTACAATAGTGCTGTGTATAGTTATGGGATGGTTTCAACATTTAAAGAGGAATGAAGTAGTTTTACTGCGAGAATGCATCTCAGTAAAATATTGTTTAGTGTTTTTTTGTAGAGATTACGGTATTCTCTACCTCTTCTGAGATGTGTTGTACCTATACAACACAAACAAATAAAACTGTTTGTATAGTTTCATACAAACTTATGTATTTTCTCTAAAGCATAAACAATGTGACTAAGTGTGTGAGAAAATAGCTAAACTAGTTAAATGTGAACATAAAATTTATACATACGGAATGACATGTTCAGAATTTGACACAAAACGAACGCAAAATATTTTAACGTTGAACATTGCTTTTCTAACGTTTAAATAAAACATGTCGTAAATCAAGATTAACTCTAAATATATTACAGACTATACTTCTCCACCTACAAAATAGTGGGAAACTACGTATAGTTGTTATTTAACTGTACGGCTACGGAAGGGTTGTTTGAATTTAATCTGGTATTTTTCTGAGCTTTGGCAAACAAACTTTACAAGTCACGAGACTGAAACCAAAATATTGAGTGTATTGCAAATTCATAAGAATGAATTGAAAGTTTTTTTTTATTTACAAATATAACAACACTGAGAAACGCCGGCTGTTAGCTGTGGCTGGACTGGGAACATAAAAAAATAGATGTTTTTGAGTTAGAGTCGCTGACTCGTGACAATTCGAAATGGACTGTAAAATATCTTGATTTTGATTGAATTAAATCTGTCTGCATGTTGGTTATAATTACCAGTAAATTTATCACTTTACAAAAGCAATTAATATTATATAATTAATTAAATTA